AAAAGTTCGTACTAGCTGACATTGTCTTGTCGGAAAATGATTTCTTCTGCAGAATAATTAAGAAACCGTGGCTGCCGGAAGTTGTACATTCTGTGAATGGGAAGCATTTTGCTTCAATGCTGTCCACGTATTGGGTCCGCTGATCCAAAACGTAGTGTACAAAATGAGATACATTCTCCAAAACCATTTGGTGGGCCTACCATTCGGTCAAAGAATGTTCCAGAACAACTTCCATCTGCAACACGAGAACGCAACATCTCACTCTTCTCTCCAGTTGAGGGGTTTCATCCACCAGAACCACATTCTGCTAGTGGAACAACCATCCTAAACACCAAATGTGAACCCCATAATGGGCAAGGCAGTCCAAAGAGGAGATCCAGCACCAACCAGTTTTCAGGAATTGGCTCAGGCCTTTACCCAAGCGTGGCCCAGAATACTCAAGAACAGTTTGGTTGTACTTGTAGACAGCATTGCCTGTTGCGTCGCAGACACTATTAATGTTGATGGCTGTACAAATGTGTTATCAAATTAATTTGTATAAACTTTTTTTAATTAATTGTGATCTCCAGTGGAAAGTTTTAAGATTTTTTTTCAAATGCAATTGTGTATCTCTGTCTAGCCGGTTGTCAATTAGGTTGCATAAACTACAAAAATATATATGTGCTATCATCAGTTATACATATACGCAGTACTAATGCTACGTTCTGACGTACCTTTCTATATAAAAGGCAGACTACTGTTAACTTAATAAAACACGAATGGAAATATGTCTATTATCGATTACACTGAATGTCTCTTTTATTTGGGTCCCACTAATATAGTGCTAGGGTATAAATATCAGTTAAAGTATAGAATCAAGTGTAATGATACCTATCATTTTGAAAAAAAAAACTTAAGCAGCCGACATGATGACACACACAGAAACCTCAGATAGATTATAATTACCAAATTCAGCAGCAATGTGCGAAGTTTAACACCAAAATGACAGTAGAATCTCAGTTACTCTAAATCAAAATAGGATAATATCTCACAATACCCATAATAAATTTTTTTCTTATTTGACTTTGATTATCTTGTTTAAAACATATTTCCAGAAACATTAGCGATAACTACTGACAATGTCATGGAAATGGCAATGGACAAACGAGTCCCATGGGCCGGTAGACCATTTCTGCTGTACACCCAACATTGGTTGTACGATGTGAAATGTTTATTTAAAAAAAGATGAGCACAACATGCAGAGGCGGATTCAAAGATGGTTGAGCAGGAGGGGGCGGAGTGCATTACTGCATGTAATAGATGTTAAAGGCACTGGTACAGATTACTGGAATATTTCTTAATTAAAAAATATGGGATTTTCCTTGGTCGTTATCTTATATCTATAATATATAATATTCTTATTATATTGCGTATCTTGTACTGTTGTCTGTACCTTTGGCAGCTTTTTATTCTTGTTGACATTTGCATTGTGTCACGGGACACATTTTGAACATTTACCTAACGGGAATATTTTGATCACAGCACTTTCCTTTTATTTGTTACATGCTATCAAGCGATACGTGGCAGACTGAAGATACCAGTGTACGATAGAATTGATTCTTTCATTTATTTATCTAGTTATTTATCTATTCAGATGCTTTTTCAGACTCATTTTTTCTGCTTTTGACTCATTACGCAATTAATTGAGCGCGCTTGCCTAACTGATTGCCCTCTAAATTGAGTCTCAGTCCCAGTAGGTTACGCTAATGTTGTCATTTCGTCGAGTCAGTCATTCATCAAATTGGTGAAATCAAGAGTAAGAATTCGAAATTGTGTTGTGGACTTCAGATATGTTATTGGTGACTTCTAGCATCGATTTTCTGTCGCTTTCTATTTGTCTCAGAGCAATGCCTTGCTGATATTCATGAAACTGTTCAGCAGAACAGAGACGATTTTTTCCCTTTTTTTTCTCTCGTCAGCGCGTCTCTGCTACATGGGGCCGAGTACGAATATGTCTTTCTTTATGTAATGCTGCAAGATTTTGTCATCATCATCATTCCTCCATACTCAAATAGGTACTTCCAAAATAAGCTTATAATTGCATGATTTCCACATTTATTTAAAATTTCATAACCAGAGGATTTTTTCTTTCTCCTTTTAGCATAAAATGAATGGTGAGCTGGACTTTCTCTGTATGTCTTTGCTAGTTTTGTTTGATAACAATCTATGAAGTCGATTTGTCGGTAAGATCAGGTCGTTATTTATCCTATGAAGTGGTAATATACCAAGAAGTATCTTAACAAACGTACATATAATTTAGTGCAGCAGCACAATTGTACGAGACGGTATAAAATTTAACTAGATGAGTGAAAGCACATAACAAGCAGCCAGCGAAGCAATATTTTGATCGAAATGTTAATGTAGAAATACTTCCTGTGACTTTCTGTGACATCTATTCCAATAGATTGCTTTCCGTCCGTCATCTACTGATATGGTAGCAATGCTGAATTGTTTTCAGAAAATCCATTAATATAATTACCCTGGTCTTATTGCGAAAACAAGTATCTAGTTTAGATCTGACAGCTGAAAAATATCACACATTTGAACAAGGTACAATTAAACACTCAGCATACTGTTACAACAGCAGCCTAATTAACTTCACCCACGTGCCACGTGTGGTGGCTCAGATATCATTGTCTGTCTGTCTTCGCTTTCTTAGGGTAAGGTGCATCGATCATAATTTTCTCTGAAATGAGTGTGAAAAGGTTACAGAACGGCAACGACATGTGAACATATCAAATAATGGTTTTTTGTTTTGAGACGAGAATGATAAAAATCTCGAACCGTTTTCATGTTGTGTTACTGCCGTAAGTTGCTAGTTTTACTATTTATGGTAGCCTTGGAAGAAACAGTTTCTTAAGTTTAACGGGATCTCCAAACGGGATAACCAACATTAGCAGGCTTTTAGGGGAAGCGACTTCGCTAACTAATGTACTTATGTGATTCAGGTATTCTATTTCAACCTAAAAATATACATAAGAGATCTACACTAATGCGATAGGTAAAAATCATCATCGGTCATTCTCTGTCTCCCTCTCTTTCCAATGTCGCGTTTCATTCAAAGGCAAATAAGCCATGGTGCATATAAAATGCATAAATGTTCACATTCAGAAAGAAAAAATGCATTTCCGTGAAAATTACTTTCGGTTTTAAGTTCCCAGGGGTAGAAAACACAGCAGTTTTTTACATTAATGTCAAAAACAGTTTGTGCTTCTGATTAGGGTTGACTTTCATGTGAGCATGTTGAAAAATCACTCATTTAGGAAGACCATCAGCGTTATGAGAATTGCTGGTTTACACTATGGGCTGATTGGAGACTCGCGTTAGTTTTTTCTTTGTTTCTTGGAACACTGTTACTGATTCAAGACTTTAACAATTGCTTTTCTGAAAAGTAACCGTGCTTCTTTTCATTTCATTACAAAATCCAACGTGTTTGTTCCGGTTGGAATGACGTTAATTTCCTATATTCAACAAAGCTTCTCAAAGACTTTAATAAAGACTTGGCATGATTTTAAGACCCCAAGAGAATTCCTCACAAAATATCAATTATCTAAAATATGAGTTAATCGATCGGGGCGTGCTTAATAACACAATATGAAAAGACTCACGGACATCGTACGACATTTTCGCCCCCTAATGCCAAAGGAGTTCTTGTCCTGGTTTGCTTTGTGCGACCCACGCGCTGGAGCGTATTAATGACTGCATCCTTAACATGTCTGCTCTCTAGGAAGAAACTTCATATCCTCAATTCCCCAGATACACGTCAAACGCTGATTATTTCTCAGTTTAGATAGACCTTTTAGGAAAATTCGATTTTTCATTTACTTGCATTTTTTCTTTAATTTGTATTGATTGCATGTCGTTCTTAAAGGGATAATAACTCTTCATATGAGATATATATTTCACAATAAAAACATTGTGAATAACTCATAGAAATATAATATATTCCATTTTACCACAAAAACGGCAGTTATAGCTATTATTCTGATATCTGAGCTTGTCTTTAGACCATGTGACCTCCATTGATGGATATACTCTGTTAAAATCTCTTAAGAGATTTTAACAAAAAAACAAACTTTTTAGAAAAAAACCAGGGACTAACTTTGAATGTAAAAATAGATTCATTTACCATTGGTAAGTATGAGAAAATTGTTGTTTACTCCAGGAAAATTCATTTTTTGGCCGAAACGAAGAGTTATTATCACTTTAACATACGGAATATTAAAATGAAGCAATCTTTTAATCTTTTTTTTTTTTTTTTTTTTTTTTTTTTTTTTCAATATTAAAGTAGCATTTTTGACGAGTTGGTCTATTATTTACTCACGCTGTGAAGCACGACATTTTATATTCAGTTCTTTTTGGATTCTGTATTTAGAGTTAAAGTGCAATGTGCCAAATGAATCAATCTGTTTAATGGTTCTGTCGTTTCAAATTATTTTGAGCTTGAGCGTCATGCAGCACGTCCAGGTGGTGTTTTTTTTTCGGAAAGATATAGGAAAGCGTCGATTGTCAACTTTTACTTCATATCTGAAGCCTATAGGAAATCGAGCGCTAACCTACTAAAATACTGAAAGTGACATTCAGACATTCTGGTAATGGTATTGCAATGAAAGTGTCTGGTCGCACAGAAATTTGATTTGAAACTTTATGAAAAAGGAGTGGTACATCACTAGATTACTGATAAAGGCAGATAAGCACAGATGGACAGCCAGACGAACAAATTTTCGGATGGGTCGGATAAAGTAAATCTGAATGTATTGAAGGAGGCAAGGAATAATATAAGTAATATACATGCATCTTCTGTTCACCTTTTTATGCTCTCTGTTCCACTCACTGACGCGCCACTGATTTTATCATAATTATTTTACAGACCACGTGAAAACTATCGGATAAGTTGTCAATCTGGCGCTTGTGACATCATCTGAAACACCCTCTGCCGTCTCGCTTAAGGATTCCCAGTATTGAGTATGTGACATGCTTCGCAAATAAGTATGCATGAGATTTTTCCGATTTGTTCATTTCGACTGCAGACCTGCGCAGATTCACGTTGGGTTGACAGAACAGAAAAGCGTTTGAAGCAGATACGAGCAAAGGTAAGATCAGCGTTGTATTGGAGTATTGGATTTTCTGGGAATCTTTTTGAGCCAATACACAAGGAGCTTTGATATTAATTTGTAATTCGTTTGAGTTAAAGATTTGATTGTTTTTTCCGATACAAGACTCTAGGCTAGTCCATGTCAACCTTTTGGTAATCTATGTCTATCCACCAATGCTTTTTATGCATCTCCTTTTAGTTTCGGATAATATAACAAAAACTTTTTCAGAAATTGATGCTTAGATATGGTGCCAATAAGAACTACCTGTGAAACACCAGCAACTTAAATAAAAATATGAAGAGAAAATAGAGAGCAGACATTTCCGTCATAACACATTGTAAGTGAAGGTTGTAAAGCTATCAGCAGAATGCAAATCATACAATTACCTTTTCCTTTTTCCGAAGGTGATATTCTAAGTAGCGTAATTTTGAAATATTGGCACACGTTGATATAGAAAGACTGATATAGCATATGGAAACAAAGTTACCAAGTGTCGTATCGCGCTGATGCTTGATTATAATAAACGAACTGTTTTATTTAGTAATCTGAAAGTCAAACATGACTAAGGGTTATCGTGATTGCCAGTTACATGTTATTTAAAGGGATAACAATTCTATGAGATTTATATTTTACCCGATTTCACTCGATGACATTGTAACAGCACCTTAAACTGAAATTTTCACATAATATTAAAGGGATAAACACTCTTCATATGAGACTCAGAATTCCACAATAAGTACTTTGTAAACAACAAATAGAAATATAATTAATTCCATTTTACCATCAAAACCCGCAAAACGGCGGTTATTGTAATTATTCTGAATTCTGTGATTGCCATCGAACCACGTGAACCTTCATAGGTGGCTACCCTCCGTAATAATTTCTTAAGAGCTTATGTCAAAGAACATATTTAAAAAATATCGAAACGGATTCATTAACCATTGAAAAGTATGGGAAAATTAACCTTTAACTTCTGTCTGTTTTCATCGTATTTTACAATTGCATGTATTCTATCACATGAATCATAGTGAAGGAGAACCTGCTTCTTGAAAAATAAAAGTAAACTGATAAAAGTAACATTTGATTTGAACAGTATAAGTTACTAATAATTTTTGCTGTGGGCTCATATCTGTTCGCATAAGCTAAGCAGTTCAGTTCTCATAAAAAAGCATGTACCCGTTTCCCACGGAAAATGACATGATTGAATTCATTTTATTATTGACGTCAAAGTGTTGCTGTACATCTTCGTCTTAAATAAACCCCACGTTTCAACTCACATTTCATTTTATTTATCAAATAATTGTACTCAGACTGACGCATGAACTCACATGGATTCGCTTCGTTTAATAACATAATGTGTTTTGCCTTGGACCATTTCAAAGTTTTACCTTCAGCAAATAATTTTGCTTATTCTGTTAGGGAGAGTTAATAATTGGAGTAATTGCTATTTTCCTTTTTTATTTCTGATGGACATGAAGAAATGCAAAGATCACGGGAGGGTGGAAGATGAAAATGTAGTGGTGGTGGTGGTGGTGGTGGTGGGGAGAGGATTTTTGTTGCCAGAGTAGATTTGATAGATCAAATTTCATGGAGCATCCTAGTCAGGAATAGTTACTCTTTTAAAAAAAGAAATAACATCAAACGAATACATGAATAGCTAAAACAGTTATTGAGTTTTTATCGAGAAATGGATGACTTGCTTCCTTCTATTATAATGTAAATTATTTATTTGGTTTAACTTCTGGGCTGTTTGTTCTTTTTATATTTGTTAAATGTTTTACGGATAGGCCATTCTCGACCAGCAATGGTCTTGCGCAACCTACTTCTCCAACAATCCCTATCCTGAGCCAGTCTTGTGTCCTCTACCATACACAAACCACATAGTGTTTCCATCTCATCACAATAGCGCGTTTTAGCCCGCCCTTTTAAAAGAATAAAGTAGACTAAATGACAGGTCTTTCTGTAGCCGACTTTCTTATATTTTCAGTCAGTTTATTACTTCCTAGTTCACAGAAACTCATCAACAATGAGATGGGGTATCTCCCCAAAAATTATTGTCAAATTCCCTTGTCCGTGTAACAGTAAGTATCCAATTTATATGAAAAGTGGCTCTATGAATATATTTATAGGTTGAAGGCTTTTGGGGATGTTAGCAATAAACAACAATGCTCAACAAGTTTTGTTTCCATCTTTTATTTTCTGAACGTCAATATAGAAATGCTGCCAAAGGTCTTTTTGCCTCATAAAATGCAGCAGGGACAAAAGGAAAAAGAACGAACAGTTTCATGACCAATATGGCAAAATAACTGTATAATTTCATGTGACGTGAGAAGTGCAAGTGAAGTAAAGCTGGGTAGCTTGTGATGTACTTTAAAACCTGCAGGGTTTTTGGAATCATACGAAACTACTAAGGGAGTGACAGAAATTTGATTACTTCAGTTATCAATATGCGGATGTTACAGACAAAAACACACTTAAAACAATTTTGTGGCATTCTTGCTCAGTGTTTTATGATTACTTTTGACAACTACAAAATAATCAAGATTACTCTTAGATTATTCTTATATAACTGTTTTTGTAAATGTCTCGAGAGCCGTTCATTACCGAGTGCTGATGTCACAGTAAATGGCTCCATTTTACTAAAGGGTTGTCAGCTGGAAACAATTCCTATGAGAGTTAATTTACATCTAGAAATAAATGGGCTGACAAACTGTGTCGTTATTCTGGATATGTCTATGAATAACTTCGAAATAATGGAGTATAATTTCCAAGATTTCTCATCCATAAGTCGGCTTCACTAGCAATTATAATCTTTTTTATTATGACTGAAGCATTCAGCTCTCCGCGCTGAACATGCATCAGTTGATTTCCAAAATTATGAATACTAACTTTCACCATCAATGATTAAAATGTTGAAGTTGGACTGCAAAAAGGCTTTAGTATGATTTTTTAAGTATGATTGTTGTTACTTTGTCTTAACAAGGAAAAGAAAGTAACGTGACTTCCCTGGTTAAAGCTATCCGAGTTGTTATCTATTTTGGTCACTTTATATTCAGAACTTTTCATGCGTGGATCATGTTTCATGTTCAGACACACAAAAACCATTTCCAATTCATTTTCTTGAATAACCACATAAAATTCCATCTTCCTGGAAAATCACCTAATAAGTCACGAAAAATTAACATTCACAATTACTTGAATAATAATAATCATGCTAGTAACATTAGAAATTTAGCGAAAAGTAGTATCATGGTCAAAATGCATAGCTTGGAAAGTTGTGTAGTGGTTTAAAAATATGACGCATTAGACCCTTCCTCAAACAATGTGCAATTCATCATGAGAAAGTAATTAAGATATGAAGCCTTGGAGAAGTCGTAAAATCAATCGAAATCGCAATTTAACGACATTGGTGGGATGAAGTGTGTTAATTCTAGACCTCATTACATTAGATTTAGTGATGTATGTGTTAATCTGTAATTCTCTCTCTCTCTCTCTCTCTCTCTCTCTCTCTCTCTCTCTCTCTCTCTCTCTCTCAGAGACATGCATATTTTACGTTTGCATAACACAAATATACATGGAGTTTTGAATGCAGGGGTAGTTTTATATCATGTCATATATAATATTATATATGACATTATATATATCTTGTCATATATAATATTAGTACCATAAGAGATATGTCGGACTTTTTGTTGTGCAGAAAACGTGCCTTTGTATCCTTTAGTGGGTAACAGTTTGGATAACATCTGATCATATATTATAAAAGCCCTCTGTCTTTTCACTCTCGTCATCTAAATATGGCAAATGCTTTTATTTCTATGTCGACATCAAAATCATAACGATGTTGTATTTTTCATTTTACGTTATTTGGATGGAATGAATAACAAGTAAAAATAAAGACGTTATATACAGGCGTACATAATATTTGACCGCAAACGCGCGCGCGCACACACACACACACACACACACACACACACACACACATATACATGTATAGTAAATTCCATCGCTCTGTCAAATCTGTTAAAGTTGGACACTGAATATTCCAGACTAACTGTGTTGTCCCTCGAGTACTTACTGGGCATAAAGGAATAAAACTAATTCGACTGAAATCTCATTGATTTGCCCTTACTTGTCCCTTAGAGATCAATGTTCTTCAGACTGTGACGAGCAGTGATTACTTAGAATACAGCAGCAAATCTTATGATGCTTACAAGAAACCAACTGCTTTGAACACAGTTCCAAACAAGATTGAAACAGTTTTTGTTAACATAGTTAGGCAATGTATGTCCATTGTGCCCTAGGTGGTTCAGGCACGAATAGTAACTCGGCCATCAAATTTGTTTAGGTTTAACGAGCAATAAATCTGAAGACATGTCTCTTGCAAAGCTTATAATGCATGTTAAGACGAAAAAAACCAAGGTGGCTGCTTTGCTTCATCAGGATAAGACCATTTCTCAGAAAAAATATTTAAAAATATCATCAATTGAATTCTCTCTTCAAAGACCAAGAGCAAAGGGCATGAAACATTTTATATAGTTGAAAGGGATAACAACTGTTCATTTTGACCAAAAAATGGATTTTCCTGAGATAAATGCTATTCAAAGTTAGTCCCTGGGTTTTTTTTTCCAAAAAGTTCGTTTTTTTTTAAATAATCTCGAAAGGGATTATAACAGAGCGTAGCCATTTTTGGAGGTCATGTGGTCCGATGGCAAGCACAGATTCCGGAATAATTGCGATCACCGCCGTTTAAGTGGTAAAATGGAATTTATTGTGTGTGTGTGTGTGTGTGTGTGTGTGTGTGTGTGCATGTGTGTGTGTGTGTTGGTTGTTTACAATGTATTAATTGTGAAATATGGATCTCATACAAAAAGTCATTATCCCTTTAATATCTTAAAATATTCAATATTTTTATATCTTAAAAGACCAGTAGTATGTGTAGAAAAAAGCAGATTTACCTATTGCGTGTTGAATGATTCAAACTTGATGAGCATTAAAGGATCAAGTCATGCCGTGTATTAACATAACATAAATGCTCCCTTGATTTGGCTCCCATGAACATTTCTCATAATTTGAAGCCCTCTTCCCTTATGTGGTACATATTATATACGGCACTTCTCGTCACGCAATTAAGTGATCCTTCTCATTCTGTTAGAAGCAGTTGAGCGGGTCGTGGCAGTATAGTCCTTGCTCGATAATTATTGCGCTGATTATAGTCATAGCGATCAATGCAAACAAGTGTTTGTCCTGATATGCTTACTGGATTCTAAGAACCTTGCATTTCCTAGTTTAGTCCAGAATTATGGCCAAAAATATCCACTTTAACCAATTGATTTGAATTTTAGCTCAGTTTTAAGATACATCATTGTACATATCTTTAAATATCCTTTGTAAAATTATAAATATGGTATTCAAGTATAGCCTACATGTGGCAATGATTGTTGAATTCAGCCATTAGTCTATTTGCCATGTCACCATAAGACCATAAATTTTATATGGTTATTACAAAGCTAGGAAAACCTAGACTTGTTTAAATGTACCATGCTTAGCTTTCTTGAAGTTATGTCGGAAACAAACGTATTTCTCTTTTGAGAAAATTTCGAACTTGTGCTGAACCAGATTTAGTTTAATCATGAATAATTATTTCTTTTCTTTCCTGTTCAGAAATGATAACTGACAACAAGACCGCCTACTAGCATTGTCCATCGATTAAGTCAAGAGGGAGAAAGAACCTGAGAAAAATCATGGTGCAGTTATTCTACTACGAGAATCGCGGCAAGTGTTATAAGAAACTTCTAAAGCACGATGGATTTCCCTGTCGCGTGCTCCTGTTCCCGTTTGAAGGTTGGGCAGAGGCTGCGCTTCTTAGTCATTGGGTGCTGAATCGAACAACATGGTGGCCGTGCAGGAAGAGGTGTAAAATTGTAGAATACACAGGCACACATAAGTTCTCGACGATGGCAAAGCTATTTGACAAGGGCAACGGAAATATGGTACTAAAAGGGAAATTCAAATCTTCGCCCAACCCAGATTTCGTCCTTCGTTTGTCAACGAATGTGGCATTTCCCGACTTCCAAAAAGGGTATAGCTTCACAGGGACGTTGGAACGGGGAAATAAGAGGAAAGGGAAGCTCCAGCTTACACATTTTGCCATGATCAAGCGAAAGGGATACTAGAACTTTGAGAAGAAATTTGGTCGTCGTATGTAATCAATCATTCTCAAAGAAAAAAGACCGAACATTATTGCACCTCCAACTGAGTAGTTTTTCGAAAAAAATAAAGCTATTAGTGTTTTTCTTTTTCTTCTTAAACAAGTATTAAGAGAGAAATACAGTAACACGAATACTTGTAGATTTTAACTGCTCCAAGTCAAGGTATTCAAATACCAACTACAACATGAACTATGTTGCATTGCCATGTCCGCTTTAGCCATGCGTTCACTGACACTGTTAGCTAAGTTTTCGGTGTTCGCTCGTCCTCGGGTGATCCCAAATATTGGGATAGACCGAATGGTATCATCGGTTTGTATATACTATATCGCCATGATAGAAAGAAATGTGATATTCACAAAACGGCTTGCCTTTTAACGACAACCGTTGCAACAGCCTGAACAAGCCATCGATTATTTTGAGAAATTGCGGGAAGTTCCTTAAGTTAATTATAATGATTTTGTGATGCTTTACATTTGTGTCATTGGCATGAAATTACATCTCAACGGGATGGAAAATTTCTATATGAGAAAAGAGGAACAATTTTAGTCTAAAACGAATTGCATTTTTGCTCTCATGGTGGCAGATCTTTTACATTCTGTTGCGATATTAATACTTGTAACTGGAGAGAGAAAGAGAAATAGAGTAGTGCTTATATTGCTCAAGTAGTTTATATACTGTTTATTCGGTTGTATATGTATATTTGCGTATTAGCGAAATATTGTATAATAAATATGTTATTGCTTAAATTAGCGACTGCAGTTTTCAATTTTTTATTTTTTAAATTTTATTTATTTATTTATTATTTAGCCCAGTGCTTGCCAAACCTCTTAGAAGACGACTGGGTAGCTGATTCTTCTATCATTATTTAAGTATTTGCGTAACAAAAATAGCTTCGTCGAATAGCTTCACTGGTCCCTGTGATGTCCCTGCTCTCGCACGGTCATGTAGGCCTACCAGTGGGAGCATAACACCGACATGACGTTGCAACGATCTGGTATAGATGTTTTGCGCGTGCGTTACTTTCGTTCAACTTACCTAATAGCAGACGATTCCAAAGATGCGCAGTTCAGAGCAGCAGCTGCTTGGTTATATTTTACCCTTTTATATGTCACATAGAGATGCTAGGATCTATACCTAAATAATCACATCTATGTCTTTTGAATGACCTGTCATTTTCCGTAGTATGAAATATAGCCTAAATTCTTAATTTATTATTTCCCCTTTCTGTCGGCTTATTTGGGTCAAGTCGCTGCGCATGTCGCCACACGTAGTTCATCTGTAGCCCACAGCTCTAGAACCAGACTAAAACACTAATATTGTGACCAGGACCTACTTTAATTCAGGAGAAATCTGTAGTAGTCCACTATGCACTGACTATGAGGTAAGTATTGGTCTATAACATAAGCCCTTTTTGAAAGAACAGGCACAATATTTCAATTAAGTCGACTACTAATTACTCACTTGTCTTGGGCTAGAGTAACTAAATATTTCAGCCTTGGTCTAATTCTTTTGTGCAACCGGTCCCAGGTGCCGGTGACCTGCATTGCTAGCTGATGACTTGAGAGGTCAACTGGGGGCACGGCTCCAAACAGGTAACAGGTAAGCTCCAGGTACTGTCATGAACTCTCTCCCAGTAAGCAGAGCGAGACCAGTTTAAGAGATATTATGTACAGTGAACTAGGGTGCTCGGATTCAACTCATTTTTGTCAGAACGTCATGCTTTCAGAGCATAGAAATCACATCAAATTGGTTGTCAGATATAAGGAAAACTAGTCTAATTTTTGAACCAGTTAAATGTCTTGTTCATAATATTCACCAATGGCGGATCGGACACAGCAGACATCTCCCCCTTGGCTTCTAGGTATGCCTATATTCTCCCCGTGAAAATACAACGAACAATCTGACAAGAAAAAACTGCACATAATCTATCATATCTTCTAGGCTAATCGCTGTGCCCTACATAGCCTATTATTAGTGAAATTGTCATCGCCTACTGTTTTGTATTTGGCGAGTGAAGCAAGAAAAAAATTGGTCTTGTTAGAAAAACCAGGGATTGTCAGTAGCAAATTTGAAATAGGGCTTGACGAGTGTCATGGGAATGAGTTCCTCGAGGTCCATTTTGTGTCAGGACGCGATGGAAATTGATTATTTACTGAGTCAGCTATATCCTTGGTTTGCCAGCTAATTCGAAAAGGATGCCGCCCTGCTGATACCAGCCTCTGATACTGCAACTGAAAACGACGCCCGTTTTATTTTATCGTCTGCGACTTGTGAGTAATGCATTTGCTACATGTTTTAAGTGTACTTGTATCACAGACATGTGTCGTTAAAGAAGATGAGAAGAGATTAACAGAATCATGTAGATATTCACATGTTGACTGTCGAAAAGACTATACAATGTACATGTACATGTCTGGCATGTAGAATTACTGGATGAAGGGGACTCCCAGTTATATGTAGTATATTACACAAAGGTTTTGATGCTTCTTTTATTTCGTCAAAGCACTTGTATTTTCAGTGCAACAATTGGAAAAAAAAGAAAAAAATAACAACAAAGAATGGGAAGATTCAAACTTATTGGTGTCATAGTTGTCATCCTCGTTACTTGTTGTTCTTATCTTCTGGTAATGACAGATCAGGCATCATCAATACTCAGTGGAGAAGTTTTCCGTCCACTCACAGCGTCTTCCAAGACCAAAATGTAAGTAAAAAACCTTGGGTAAGTGTTCGCGAGAAAAAAATTTTAATGAGCTGAGATAAAGGTCGCATTTTATATATATATATATATATATATATATATATATATATATATATATATATATATATGAGTACATAAGTACTTCTATTTACCTATGATGATGCCGCAAGATCTGCCAGAGAGAGAGAGAGAGAGAGAGAGTTCTAATGGCAGCTGAATAAAAAAGGACATAAATCAAAACTGACATATACCATATAGCACTGATATTTGTTTTTCAGCTCTGACACTAGAAGTCTAGCAGACGACTATAAGATGTCCCTAGTATATCGATCAAGCTCCGATATTGCCCCTGTTCCTGAGTACAAGTCATTCCAGGGCGCCACTTGGCCAGGGAGGTGCTCACCCCACAGGCACATAGTCTTTGTAAAAATCCCTAAAACCGGTTCCACCACCGTGTCCAATATACTTTTGAGGTACGCGTTTCAAAACGATTTACGAGTGGCCCTACCTGCTGCTGGAAGACACAATTTGACAATAAGAAACTCCAATTATGATCTCCATGCCGATCAGTTTGACAGTACAAGTAGAGCAAAGTATGATATAATGGCACATCATAGCAACTACAGCAGAGAGGCAGTAGCTAGAATCATGCCGGCGGATTCCGTGTATGTGGTAATGTTGAGAGAACCGTTAACTCACTTTGTGTCAGGTTTCAACTTCTTTAAAGTCGGAGAAAAACTTGGACTAGAGGGTAGAGGGCAGTTACACACGTTTCTCAGTTCAAGAGATCTTTATAAATCTAGAAAAGTCCCCAATCTGATAAACGTTATGATAAAATATTTGGGGTTTCCTACAAGTCCCAATAAAAATATTACCTCAGTGAACGATTTCCTTCGAATAATTGATAAAGAATTCGATTATGTTTTGATTCTAAAATATATAGACGAAGGTCTGGTGATGTTAAAGCGCAGGTTATGCTGGGACATAGCTGATATCATATACTTGAAAATCCACAAAATTAAAGCAACAGAGTACCAAGATCTAAAGAGAGAGGGAGAAGACCCAGCCGTGTCTCAGCTATTACACAAACTGAGCAAGAAAGATTATTTGTTATATCAATATTTTAAGAGAAAATTTGAAAAAACACTTTTAAAGCAGAATGATGATTTCTTTGAAGAAGTGAAATTTCTCAAAGAAACCAATGAAAAAGTTTCTACATTTTGCAAAGCACGTTCCAAAGATTCAACCCTTAATATCCGAGCATGCAACTGGACGCGAGGCTTCACTATCAGAAAACCGCATTGCAAATTGATGAAGTTAACTAATGTAAAATTCTCTGTTTTATTAAAGAATAAGTTTTCTAAAAGCGTAAGAAACGATGTCACTCGTCGTATATTGTAATTCATTTACCTACAGGACTCATGAAGTCAAACCATTTTGAATCATCTTAGCAACTCACTCTTTGCACGTACTTTCGAGAGTCTATTGTAATTTCATCACAAGAGTACTGGAATTCTTCTCGGCAAAAGCAATTATATAGTAACTCCGGATTCGACTTTTTAAATATTTCCACATATTTCTACGATTTGAAAGAAATAAAATGTTCAAAAACTAACTGTCAATTGTTTTGATTTGATAAGACCATGTTTGCGTGTATTTTGCATTTATATTTTTGTATGTTTCCTTTGTAAAATATTCTAAGATTTTAAGACATATGGACATTCGTAATAAATTATTCAGACACGTTCAAAAAAAAAAGAAGAAGAAGAAGAAAAATGACGAACGCCATTAACCCCAACCATATTTATTGCCACCCAAATCAGCATTTACTATGTATTCAATTAATATTTTTGGATTTAAGTCTCCATTCCATTTCGTATATTATTATAACGGCTCATGGTTGAAAAAAGCCTCTGCTGACGTTCACATTTTCCAAAAGTTTAATATTGGAATAAGGAGTAAAATTAATAATATCATTAGAAAAGACCTCTACTTTGACACAGAAATATAAACTTAACAAGATGGGTCGATGAATGAATATATAACAGTCGAAGTAAAATGTTAAGTCCATTATAACATTAAATTTTTTTGGATTTAGCTTATATTTTAAAGCATGTCTAACAGTTACATAAAAGCAGGACGACTTATTTTCAGGTACTGGTTTATGGGTTGTTGAAATAACGCCCGTGGAATTGTGTCATCTGCATGACAATTGACTACATGTATACTGACATTAAGATTGCATATACGTTGTAGCATTCGGAATATACGATATAATGCAAGTTTCGGTAAAGATTCTATTTTTGCTTTGAGGTTATGGTCTTCGTGCGTGTCTCCATCATAGAAGTCACCGAGGATTATTATTATTATTTTTGGCAATTGAACTCCTGTCTTAATCGGCATAGATATAGACCCCAATTAATCTTTTGAACAGAAGTCGGATGCTAGCCTGATCTTAAATGACAAGCCCACCCCATCTGTGACGTTCTCGCCGTCAAAATGCGCCATATCTCCTCACACCTGTGTGCATCTGGGGACTTTATCTTAGCAGAAGTTTTTTTTTTTTCGTTCAAAACCATTGCCAGTTAATGCATTTGGCTGGGTGTTATTTCCTCTTCTGTGTTTAATATCTGTGGATCCAAGGTGTTTTAGGTACAATTAATGGTATGATTTACATTTTTTAAATCACGTCTTTGTTGTACGCATATGGAGGTCATAGTTATAGGCCAGGTAGTCATTTGCAATGTTTCATTTAAGGAAATGGTATGCGTGTTTAGCAGAGGAAAGGTCCCCAGAAGAGTTTTGACGGGTTATCATCTGTTGTAACAAAATAATCTCTCCCAGCATTCGTAAAATCTTCTCTGCTAATCAAACCGTCGTGATTTGTGTCCAGCGCCTGGAAAGATGGCGTCACCGATAGAGGATGGACGCCGTAGCACTTCAGGAAGTCAGAGTATTCCTGAAGGGTGATAAACTCGTCGCTGTTTGCATCCGCGCCGTCAAAGGTCAAGTTAAACCAATTCTTGCAGGTTTCGGCGAATTTTGGGTCTCTAAATGTGCGCGCGTGAGATTGCATCATTTCCTCGAAAGTGACAGAAACTTTCCCTTCTGGTCCTCCCCAAAACTCGTTCCACGCTGCGTTCCAATATTCTTTGTATTTCTCCTGTTTGTCCTTTGCCAGAAATGACTTGGTTCGTTCCAGCACCCAGTCCAAGTAGTCTTCTTTTCGGACGATTCCGTCCAGATCGCGATCAAAGAGAACGAAAAAGGAGCGTATTTTTCGCACCCAAAATTCCGGCAGTGGAGCGTGGTCAGACATCTAGAACGACAACACAGTTTTGTTTTGTTTGAATAAGTATGCATTTGTTTAATTAAGAAGGCAGCTGTCATTGCATGAAAAAGAAAGTTATTATTGGACAATTCTACTTTCATGAATTTTCACCTCTCTCTCTCTCTCTCACACACACACACACACACACATACACAAATTGACGCCCGTGACACGCACCAAACTCAGTACAAATAATATATTCTTTGTATTTCTCCTGTTTGCCCTTTTGTCATATATATATATATATATATATATATATATATATATATATATATATATATATAAGAAATAT